GCACATGCAAGTCTGATTTCTTTCACTTAAGAATATGTTCTCTAGTTGCATCCATTTACTAACAAAAGACTCAAATTTATCCTGTTTTATAGCTAAATAATACTCCATTGTGTAAAAATACCACATCTTCTTTATCCATTCCTTAGTTGATAGGCATCTGGGTTGTTTCCAGGATTTAGCTATAGCAAATTGTGCTGCTATAAACATAGGTGCATATATACCACTGTGGTATGAGGTTTTCAGTTCTTCTTGACTCAACTGGTATACAACCAAGATTTGAGAAGATTCCTTTATACTTACCTAAGGCTTGCTGTGTACATTTCTCTTCTCTCCAGTACTCCTAACAAATTTTAGCTGTCTTAGTCTTCTCAAACTCCAAATTCTCTTTTCTAATGTCAGTGAAAGTCATCCTGTTGTTTCTCTTCCTGAACCACACTCTGGTTTTTCTCTCCTTGCAGTTGAGTAGGAATAAATGTTATTTGCCTTTTCTCAGAAATCATGTCCTGGGACGGCCTGATAGCTCAACAGACAAAAGTACCTGTTTAGACAGAGCACAGCAGCTGGGTTCAATCCCCAGTGTGCAGTGCTGGCCCCGTCCCCGGGGCACACTGAGATGAAAATTGAGACTGGGCACGCACCTGTAATGCCAGCACTTGGGAGGCTGAAAACAGGAGAATTGCTATGAGTCTGATCTACGTTGCGAGATCCTGTACACCCTGCAAACCCTGTCCTAAAATACAGACAAAAAAAAATCATGTCCTGTGCTGCTTGTTTTCCTGTTCAAAATAACAGTGTTTCATGCATTTTCCAAATTTTTTTTGTATTTTCTGTGTTCACAGGTTTATATTTTAAACACTGAGACTTGTGGAACCTTAGGTACACTTTGTGTTTCTCCACAATTTACAATTATACAACCCAATCCAAGCAATGAGTCTGTGGCAGCAAATAACAGAAGTAATGGGAGACATGTCAGGAATATTTTATGGCTATGGAAGTTCAGATGAGATTGAATAAACACATCATATGAGTGAAGTTGTGCTGTGAGCCTTTCACGGTGCATTACAAACTTGGCTTCAATGAGTAGTACCATAAAGCCAGTACCTGAAACATCAGAGGGGTTCTCATGAAGAAAAGTTCAGACTTGATCATGTGACTTGCAGGATCATACTCTGACATGAATTCTTTGATTATGACTGCTTTGGCTGTTCTTGTTCACCTATTAACGGCACAGCCTTGCCCTGGTTAGCAATGGTTTTAATTAGAAAGTCAGTCCTCACATTGTAAACGTTTGACACCAGAATGGAGTCCTATTCGGGAGTACTGTCAGATGGATACACATACTCCTGGATACACGTGTTCCAGGGCATCCAGGTCCTCGGTCCTCAGACCCAGTCTAGCAGGATTACTGATGCACAGAGGGCTGGCAGTTACCTGGCATTCCAAGTTCTAAAGTGATCAGAAGAGGCCTGAAGATTATGAGCAGCAGGGTTGGAAAGTCCCTGGGCATTCAAGGTTCTTCCAGAAACATTAGCATCAAAAGGCAATTATAGGGGCTGGGGAGGTAACTCAGTAGAATAAGTGCTTGTCCTTGCCTGGCAAGCGCAAGGGCCTGAGTTCAATCCCTGGTTCTGAAAAAAAAAAAAAACAGCAATTATACCATCAGCCGAAGAAAGGATCAGCTTTCCTTTTTTATTCTCTTCCTCTGGAGGCGCTGCTGCCGCCATCACAAACCCTGAACTCGTGCCAGAGTCCGACAGGCTCATCCTCTGACTTCTTCTAAATTTCTTAATTGCATACCATGAATCAATCCCATTCTAGTTATACTATCATAACCAGAAGCAAAAGTTTGAAAGAAAAAAATGAAACTACTAGACGGCATCATTATTTATCTGTCAAATGCTAACAAATCTATAAAGCAACTGCCAAAATAAGTAATTTTAGGAACAATACAGGATACAAGTAGCAATGCAAAATCAACTATATTTCTATATGTTACCAGCAAACACTTGTAAAATAAATTTTCATAAAGGCATCAAAAGTAAGTTTCTTAGGAGTAAATTAACAAGAGACATGGAAGACTTTTCCACTAAAAAATTATAAATCATTGCTGAGACAAATTAACTAAGACCGAAATACAGAAGTGCCTACAATGTTAAAGTGTCAGTTTATCACAAATTCATCTATATGTTCACAACCCTCCCAACAGTAATCCTAGCAGGATTTTTAATAGGAAATTGATGGGTTATCTCCATAGTGTACATGAAAATGCAAGAAGCTAAGAGTAGTCAAAACAATCTTGAAAATATAAGATTTATAAGACTTTTCTTTAATACTTACACAAGTAGAAGAATTAAGACATTGTATTAATAGCATAGCAATTAACAAAGACATCAATGAAACTGAATTAAATCCAAAAATAGTACTACATGTTTATAACCAATTGATTTTTGATAAATTTTTAAAACAATTAAGGGAAAATGTCAAGTCAATATATATCTACTGGAAAAGAAAAAAATGAATCATTTCCATATACATGAAAATTAATTCAGAATAGACTGAAGATATAACATACTAGACTTTTTAGAGGAAAACACAGATATAATCCAAATGCTTTTCAAAAATAATGTATAAGCAAAGTAAGAAATATTTATCTAATATAGTACCCAACCAAAAACAAAAAGCCTGTGACTGATGTATGCAAAAACAGACTTTCATATAGTGGTGAGAAAAGAAATCAAATAATGCAAAAACTATACAGTAGATGACTCAATTTTCATGAAATTCTAGAATAGAACAAACTAATACACAGTGAAAAATGAGGATAGTTGCCCAAGGAATAGGAGCAATGAACGGAAATGGGTATAAGAAAAATGTGGAGGTGATAAAAAAAATCGTACAAATAGGATGATAACTTATGATGCACTGACAAAATTCACTGAATCAGATACTTACGAGTTATACTTTAAGATTTACAAATTTTGGGGCTGGGGAGATGGCTCAGTAGAATAAGCGTTTCCCTGGCAAGCACAAGGGCCTGAGTTCAATCCGCGGTTCCACAAAATAAAAAAAATAATAAAATAAAAGATTTACAGGGGCTGGGGAGATGGCTCAGTAGAATAAGCATTTGCCTGGCAAACATAAGGGCCTGAGTTAAATCCCCAGTTCTGCAAAAAAAAAAAAAAAAAAAAAAAAAAAAAAAAAAAAAAAAAAAAAAAAAGAGTTCTAAAAAAGATTTACAAATTTTAACTCAGCATTATTAAAGCTATAAAAGATATACTGAAACAATACATTGCCCCATTAATATGTACAATGTTTATGCTTTTATGTCCCAATTAAAAATAATTTCAAGGGCCGGCCAAATAGCTCATCGGATTAAAGCGCCTGCAAGCAGGCACAGGGGCTAGAGACTGGATCCCGGCCTGCTGTGCCTGCCCTGCTCCCAGGCGCGCTGAGAGACAATTGAGACTGGGCTGGGTGGTGTGCCCTGTCCAGATCACTATGAGTCCGACCTAGTAGTGACACCCTGAACACCCTGTAGACCCTGCCCTAAAATACAAATAAATAAATAAATAAATAAATAAATAAATAAATAAATTCAAAATTAAAAAGACTGAGCTGTCTTCAATCCAACCCCTCAGGATAATTACTATGTGTTTCACTATTGGCAAAATTAAGTCAGTTCAGAAAAGTAACAAAGTCAGTAATAACACCGGGTGATCTAAACTACTGCTAAGTGTGTAAATGGGTTTTAGCAGCACACAAGCCACACCTGTTTTCCTGTGGTGGTTATGGCTGTCTGTTACACATGTCTGGCTTGAATAAGCAAGGAGTAAACCCCATATTCTTTCTCACTTGGGCCCCTTTCTGGATTGTTTTGTCTACACACAACAGTAAATGTTGCAGGAAAGGCTCCAGGGAGTACACAAGCAGGCTGAATTGGTTGGAAACTACTTGATTATACCACTGTTTCCTGAGAGTTTATTCTGTCGCTGATTAGATGAAAAACCCCAGCAAGCACTGTCTACTGCTTTCCCGGTATTATTACTGACTTTGTTACTTTTCTAAACTGACTTACTTTTACCAATAGTGATATTATTTAAAAAATTAATGCTATTATATTCATTTTCTGTGCCTACTTAGGCACCTAATACACTAAAATAAACTCATGTCTTTAGATTTTCATTTCAAAAAATTTTATCTCAGCAACCAAACATAGGACTTTAAAAAAATATGAAACACTAGTAAGCTTGCTTTACACAGTGTTGTTGGGGTTTTGCAAGGGAACAATGCAATACAAGACACATTTTATAATATTATTTTATGGGGCCAGGGAGATGGCTCAGTGGAATAAGTGCTTCCCTGGCAAGCGCAAGGGCCTGAGTTCAATCCCCTGTTTCGAAAAAAAAAAAATTATTTTATAAGGTATCACCCAAAGAATCATATACAAGGAGTGCAGAAGATCTGTCCATGCACTAAAGATCAAAAAATCCAGCTGAAGGCCTGGCTTCTAATAGCCTGCATGAGTCCAGCTGAAAACCTAGCGCTTATAACAATGCCTCCCACAAGTCCAACTGAAGGCCTATAGCCCACGACAAAGTCTCATGCAAGACTGCCTGGGAAAAGCAAAAAGGTCAGTGGTGGAAGCTAGAAAGTCTATGCCAGAAGATCTAGGCTAGCAGGATGAGGGATCTGAACTGGAGCCAGGAAGCAATGCTCAAGGTAAGCACCAGAGCTCCCCAAAAGGTACCAGAGCCATCTTCAGCAACAGTAAGGTCCTGAGCTCCTCTAGTGATAAGGAAATGGTAGTTCCCATCAGGAAAGCCAATGCAACAAGTTTCTCCTGAGGCTGAGCAGTGCACCATCTTCCCCTCCCAAGCCAGGAAGCAATGCTCAAGATGAGGCTCCCTCATTGTCTCTGTGAGCTCCCTGGTTGACTCTGTCAACTCCCTGGTTGTCTCTGTGAACCATCTGTCGCCATCCTCTTCAGTGCAGTGACACCTGCACCTGCCATCAACATGACAGCAGATGATCCTTTGTGGGACCCTCAAGGGTCACAACGGCTGGTAATGCAGATTGCTACCACCCCACAGTTCCGGGACATGAAACTGTCTGCATCTTGAGACAAGACTATCATCATGTGGAAGCTGACCCAGGATGAAACTAATTATAGTATCCCTCAGTGTGCTCTGAGGGGTCACTCCCACTTTGTAAGTGATGTTGTCATCTCCTCAGAAGGCCAGTGTGCCCTCTCTGGTCCCTGGGATGGGATCCTGCACCTCTGGGATCTTACGACAGGCTCCACCACAAGATGATTTGTAGGCCATACCAAATACATGCTGAGTGTGGCCTTCTGACAACCGGAAGAGTGTGTCTAGATTCCCAAGACAAAACCATAAAGTTATGGAATACTCTGGGTATATGCAAATACACTGTCCAGGATGAGTCTCACTCAGAGTGGGTGTCTCGTGTCCATTCCTCACCCAACAGCAGCAACCCTATCATTGTCTCCTGTGGCTGGGACAAGCTGGTGAAGGTATAGAATTTGGCAAACTGCAAGCTGAAGACCAACCATATTGGCCATACTGGCTATCTGAACATGTGACAGTCTCCCTGGATGGATCCTTCTGTGCTTCTGGAGGCAAGGATGGCCACACCACGCTGTGGGATCTCAATGAAGGCAAGCACCTTTATACTTCAGATGGAGGGAACATCAGCAATGACCTGTGCTTCAGCCCTAACCGCTACTGGCGCTGTGCTGCCACCAGCCCCAGCATCAAGATCTGGGACTTGGAGGGCAAGATTATCGTAGATGAACTGAAGCAAGAAGTTATCAGTACCAGCAGCAAGGCAGAGGCTCCCCAGAGCACCTCTATGACCAGTCTGTTTGCTGGCTACACAGATAACTTGGTGGGAGTGTGGCAGGTGACTACTGGCACCCGCTAGAAATGTGTCAGCTTTAAAAAAATTTTTTAAAACTGGCTTTCTAAAAAAAAAAGATGGGGGCCAGGGAAATGGCTCAGTGGAATAAGCACTTCCTTGGCAAGTGCAAGGGCCTGAGTTCAATACCTGGTTCTGAAGAAAAAAAAAAAAAAAAAAAAAAAAAAAAATGACCAGAGCTCCCCAAAATGAACCACAGCCATTCTCAGCAAGAATGAAGGTCCAAGCTCCTCCAGGGATAAGAACAGCCAAGTTTATCAGGAAAGCCAGCATGACGAGGTCCTCCAAAAGAACATCCAAGAGAAACAGCAGCTTCCAATACCTGCCCGACAGCTTCTCCAAACGGCTTCCCTAATGGCGTCACAGAAGCATCTCAGTTCTGCCTTCTATGCTGCTGGCAACAATCCTCAGGTGAGCCTTCCACACCCAGCACCATGCTAGTTCAATTCAGCTGGCTGTAACAAGTTGACCACCAGTTAGAAATACACTTACACACCATGCTATCATTTATCAGTTATAAACTACTTACTGTGTTTTCATCAATTATACTAACTATAACAGGAATCTGGGTGTCTGTTGGACATAGATTTTTCTAGCTCTGCTGAGAGGGATTAAAGCAATAACACAACTTATAGTAAGATACTGGCTTTTGAATTCCATTGTCCACCAAACTGCTTTGAGAAATACCTGATTCTAGGGTACAAAATTGTGTTTTAAAAAATATTTGTTGTATATACTTAAGGTATACATGTTTTGATATGGTACTGATTACTACAGTCAGGCAAATTAACTTTGCTATCATCTCAAGATGTAGTTCGCTCTTGCTCTCACTCTGCCTTTTTTTCTGTCATGGTAGAGGACCCAAAAGCTACTCTCACAATGTACTTCAGTATACAATACACACTATAAACCCCTGCACATTATAACCTAGATGTCTTCGTCCTATAGAACTGTAGCTTTTTACCCTTCGTGCTACCTTCTCTCATTTCCTCCACTCACCCTTGGTAACCACCTTTTTCTACTGTGTACTTGTTTAGACTGACCTTTAAGACATCATATACAAGTGAGATCATGCAGCATCTGTCTTTCTGTACACAACTTGTATCTCTTAATATAATGTCTTCCTGCTTCAACCATTTTTGACAAGCATGAGATATCACAGGATATCTTATGTGCCCAGTGGATATTCAAAAGGATAAAGGATCCAACACAAAGAAGCTACCACTGGCTGTTCAGTAGTGGCCTACACCATCCAAAAGCAATTTTCTTGCCTCCCAGTGTGCTGGCATGTGTTTGTGGCAGGAACCACACCCTCTCTTCAGAGGTTTGCTCTGACCTTGTGGTTAGGGTAAGGAGCATTTCCTTTAAGCTTTTAAGGTACTTCCTTAATAATTCTTCAAACTTAAAGGTAATAAGTGCTATATGCTATCTAGGTATAAGCATCCTTTTATCTCATTAAATTTTGATCATCTCTTATAAAAACAATTTTTTGGTTGATGTACTAGAGATTGAACCAGAACCTTAACACTAAGTTCCATCCCCAGTCTTTTTAATTTTCTGAGACAAAGTCTCATCAAGTCACTAAATTACTCACACTGGGCTCAGAGTGCTGGAACTACAGGCATGTGCTGCTGTGACCAGTTGAAAATAAGTCTTTGGTTTTTTTTCTTTATTTTATTTTTTTTTTGACAACTCATACAGAATTTTACTTAACAAAGTAATATGAATTTCACAGTATTTGTTGTAATACATAGTGTTGTCTTACAACCAGC